CAATTGAGTGAACTTATGCGGTGGCTGCAAATGCACAAGCAAACTTTAAGGCCCTTGTGACATGGCGGCGTTTTATGGCGCGAGAATACGACAGTAAAAGCAGACGTGGCTAAAGAGAAGAGTTCTATAGACGCTGGGAGGGAAAGAGCGAGTGCTCGAGAAACTCGAGAGGGCAGGGAGGCAGCATGGATAACCCTCAGACAAGAAATAGACCACGCTTGGGAATCCTTGGATTCCTGGCATGGTGGCACGAAAGAAGCACAGACACAAACACACGACCACGCTCTCACATATAAAGCACAGTTGAGATGGTCTTCCCACGTCAGTACAGGTGTCTAATGGGTTAATGGGGTTCTAGCATGCCGGCCTTGGAGGACTGGCAGTAGCGATCGATGTGGTACATTTAGTCATAGGTCCTGCAGTGAGGGGGCGCGCAGAGCTTTTAGGAACAGGATGCCTAGGTTTCATTGTTATGGATCCATTACACATTCCCAGAAGAAAACATTACGAGAGGATGCTTCAATTCAGCCGGGACAGGAGCAGCAGGCTTTGACTTTTGTTTTTCTTGTTGTATTTCTTTCCTTCTCATGTGCTTGTTAAGTCAATGTTATATATAAATGATGCTTCAGATAATGATCAATGTGGTTCAGTTATTGACAACACTCTTCTTTCACTCCCCCCCCTTCCCCCCTGCAGAGTGGATTCAGGCGGTCCAGGCCCTCATGATCCTATCCATCATCTTCAGCTGCCTGGCTCTCTTCCTCTTCTTCTGCCAGCTCTTCACTCTGCAGAAGGGCGGACGCTTCTTCCTCACTGGAACCTTCCAGATCCTTGCCAGTGAGTTGAATCCCCCTTTTACACTTCCGCACAAATCCATCAATATCAGATAGACAGAATACTGGTTTTGGCTGGTATCAAAGTCACATGTAGAAAGGGATTCATATTGGATCCGGTGTGACTGAAGTTTAGGGGGTACATTTTCACTATTAAAAAATCTCTGGTGAATCGATTGATCATAAAGATCATGTTCGAAAATTATGAAAATGACTTGTTTCGATCGACTGAAAGTCCAAAACCAAAAGGCATGCTTATTGTCAATAATATAAAACAGAGAGAAACGCAGCAAAACCACACATTTGAGAAGTTGTAAACATGATTTTCAGCTTTTTTGCTTGACAAACAACCACTTGAAAATCGACTCAATGACTAATCAGCACAGTAAAAGTAGTCTGAAAGTACACCACTCACGCAAATCCTCCTCTTGCACGGACAGAGCAATACCAGACGATCCCACTGCATCTACTGTGGCAGAGAATTAGATTAAGAGAGTCTGAGCCAGTAACTAATGGTTTAATGCTCCACTCGTCTATTATACTTAGTCCCCTTTGGCCGGAGAGCGGCACCACTGCCCATTGTGTGTCCTCCCTTGGCAGCCCTTTTCCTACATCCCAGGGTTCGCTCTCTGTACTGTGCCAGCGCTTTGCCTAGCACCCAGGTGCCCACTCAGCCAAACAGGAATGACACTGGGCGCACCGCCAGCCGCGCCATGTTGAAATGTCAGGAAGGCCCGGCAGCGCTGACAAAACACGTCGTGCCATGTCGGACCGGGGGAGGCGGGCAGAGCAGGAGCCGCTTGGCTCAGAGATCAATAAGCGTGAGACACTGTGAGGTATTGTGGAGGGATGCCTTCTGGGAAACACTGACCTGCTCGCCTCCTCTGCCAGACAGGGTTCAAGACAGAGAGCACAACACTGCAGAGAAACATGATCTGATGATTGAACAAGATGATGGCCAGCGTTGTTCAGTGTTTTCCGGCTTGTTCCCTCCCTGCAGGTTTGTTCGTGATGAGCGGAGCCATCATCTACATGGTGATGAGTCCGCAGTGGGTGCCGGGGACCGACGTCTTCGGCTACTCCTACATCTTGGCGTGGGTGGCCTTCCCTCTGGCGCTGATCAGCGGACTCATCTATGTCATCTTGAGGAAGCGAGAATGAGCCGTCACTCCATCCAATGTTCCCAGTAACCCAACTGCAAGCGTCATCAGTCCCACTCTGAAGTAAAAAAAAAGTTTTGATGCCCGAGTACCAATGGCCCCTGGAGCCACCAGACCAACACAACCAGATCACAGCAAGGGGGGGAGGGTGGTAATACCAAAAATCAACAAGCAAACCAACACAAAACAACCAATACTGTCTCAGTTAAAAGATGTATATAGTATCTATGGTTTAAAACCTATTTATAACACTTTTTACATATATGTACATAGTTGTTGAGTTGCTCTGTCAATGGATACATGTATGAGCTTTGTTTTAGCTGATTAAGTGCCTCAATGTTTGTTTGTAATGATGAAATAATTAGATGCTATTGTTGTTGCGTTTCCTTTTTTTGTTGCCTTTTTTTTGTTTTGGTAATTGCCAAAGAATTATAAAAAAAAAAAAAAGAAGCAAAAAAGTTACTTCAAGTATTTTAACCAAAGTGCATGTATAGAAATAGAAGGGTTAGAAGAAGAGATTTTGCGATGGGCTTGCTTTACAAAACGAGTGGTAACATCCCTGGATGTAGCACAGCCAGGATATATAGATTTGGTCCTTTTCTATTTTGTGAAGTTTCAAGTTTCAGTGTTTTTATTTTCAGTATTTTTCTATTTCTTATTTTCAACAAAAGATGGTGCTATGTATTTATCATTCCTATTACTGATAGCAATCATTGACAACGGAGTTACCTTGTTCTTGTTTAGAGTCAAACGGCCATTAATTAAAGTGGGAATCAGACAGAGGTACACCTGTACGTACAGTGCCTGACTGCCTCTTTAGGGAACACAGTCCATTTCACATTGCAGTGTCTGATTTCTCTTCTCTTCATCAGCTACTGTAAAATGAGTAACTGAGTTTGGGGCGGTGCACTGATGAAATCCAAATAGAATGGCAGTATTATTCTGCGAGTTTGTGGAAGAGTTGGATTACAGTGAAATTACTTCATATCGGCTTTACTTTAACTCTATGTTCCTTAATCGTACCCTCATTCTGATGTTTGTGTTCACCTGGCTGTTAAAGTCTCAAGAAGCCAAATTGCCTATTTAGTAGAATACCATAAAGAAGATAACACTGTGGGGCGTTATAGCCTAAGAAATAAAGTATACATGATATGACTACCAGAAAGAAATGCCACTGAGTTGAAGCCATATAAGATAATATCAGATGATAGGAAAAACGTATGTAGTATTAACTCTATATGTGATGAAAAGGACAGAGAGGTTTGCAGTGATGACACAAATTGCCTGTTTCAAATACTTGAAGTTTGACATGCTGCCGTCTCTGCCCACTGACGTCTATGAGTTCTTCTCTTATTCTGTGTAAAACGCTGTTCGTGTGTTGCGCCATAACAAGACGGTGATGAGAATCTAGCATAAAACACTCACTTACTCAATAAAACTTACTCTCACGTTATCTAATACTGTGTATTCCACTGCTACAAGGGACTGGATTCACGCTAACACTTGATGCATGCAGAATTTCTAGCCATTTTCTCGTCTGTCTTCCCGTAAACTCTGAATCGCACATCTCTGGGCTGCAAAAAGCATCATGTTGGGGGGGGACTGCCAGTAGATGGGGAGAGATATTACAGTGATAGCGAATTCTGAACCATCCTGATTGCATGTTCACATGCTATGAAATGAAACAAAGATGTCAGAGACTGAAACGCAGTATGTAAAATTCCTGTGTGCAGTCTGTTACAGTGTTGCCATCGTACTCCGCAGTAGATCAAATAAGCTGCCTTGTGCATGTGGTTGCAAATGCTGTTATGTGACTTGTGTTACACACACTGGGGGGGTTGGGGGGGGCGAAGGCACGGCGGTTGGCACCCCGACGGCAGTCATTCAAAACATGCAGCTAGTGTTTCAGTGTCATCGGCGTCTCTCTCAGCATCAGAAATAGGAGGCCTTGGTGTCTTGAACACTGTAAGCAACGGTCTGTCCTCCTCTTGACATCTCCTGTGACATCCTCCCGAGACAGAGCTATGCTGTGGTGGAATTAAAGCATTTAATTCAGAGTTTACACGAGCTAGTCTGCTGTGGGTTTTTTGTCTTCCTTTTTGTCTTTCTTGTTAGCATGATGCTCATTATCGGGTTCAGTTAGAAGAGATCGCCTCTAATGACAGCTGCCCTTCTATTTTGTGCAAAGCGACAAGAGTTCAAATGTCTACGCCATGTTTACACCTAAACTTCCAAATGCTCTTGATATTACCAAAGCTACTTTGAGTTTAAATCATTAAAGGATGTTTCTTACCACCACGATGGAGCTTGTTTCATGTCTTTTGATAACACTGCACACACACACACATACACAATCTATCTTTGGAGAGGCGAAAACCTTCCTGTTATAGTGATGGAGGACTCATCTGTCACATGACCTGTGCTGACAGGTGACGGTTTGTGATGATATCTATTCCTTTTAAAGACAACAGCCAGTCCATAACCAGCGCTTCGGCACCGAGCTGATGATCGGCATCGATCGGCATCGTCACCGCCTCCCACTGCCTCCCCCTCTCACATACTAGCGCTGCGTGAAATGGGGACAGTGCATTCTGGTCTGCGTGTTTGTGTAAGTTACTGTATCATTTTTGGGGGGTATAAAAGTATAATTCCATCTATAAAATCTTTATTTTATAAATGTATTTTTCATTTTTGTTTCTATTTGATTTATTATTATTTTATCATAATATATATATATTTATTATTTATCTTAAAAAATAATAATAATTACTATGTATTGCGCAATACCGCTATCTGGTGGACACTTATGACAACAGCAACACAATTCTTATATCACACTTAGTTGGCAAACACTGCCTCTATGTGGTGACATATGAGCACTACAGCTACATCTTCTGTCTGATCTATATGCTATTCTGGAGAGAGTGGAAAGGCTCAATGTCTCCCTCGGGCTCAGCAGATAATTCTTTCTTATTAAAATGTGCCAGACCTCATTAATTCTATATATGATCATTAAGCATTGTCTAGAACTCAGCGTGTTTGCGAGGGTGTACACGCCGTGCCATTAGTATGCACGCATGTGATATAGAGAGGTGATTTCTCCTACTTGTCTGCTCTCTATTACCCTTCAGTCAGTCTAATGGATGCTCCTCCTCCGGAGCCATTATGAAGGCATTTATGGCACAACACATCATTAGAGGTAAAGGCAGAGACATTCTACATTTGATGAACGATTTGATAAATTCAGACAAAACACAATAACATCACCGTGTTTCTAAATAATAGAGAATGGGGTGCAGAAGAGGGTCGGACTGCTGTAAAAAACCCTGATCCATCGGCTATCAGCAATGCTTTGCTTCAACTTAGAAATAATTTAAAACATTTAAATTTGGAAGAGGAGATGTTGTTTACCGACACATTTTCACCAGCTGGCCAATGTGCAGCTCCAGTGGAGCACCAGAAGGCCAGTTCAGATCAGGTGAGTTGACTGTGAATGAAATAAAGATGGGCGACAGATTAAAGGAAACAGCAACACAGCGTTTTATGGACTTTGTGAGATTCGGCCGATACTGTATTATGGAGCAGGAGGGCCGACCACTATCATTCCAAAACATCTTCCCTTATTTGATGTTTAGATGACGGTCGTAGAGAGAGCGCTGTCCAACACAAAATCTCCCCTAAGTGTTCATTTAGGCTGAGATCTGAACTGATTCACATCATTTTCAGAACCACAATCAGAATCACCTTTATTGGGAAAGTATGCACATACTAGGAATTTGACTATTTTTTGACTTTTCTGCATCTCTCTCAGTTTTACTTACACAGAAACAGACTTCACAGCTAGAGACAAGGACAACAAAGCTGGTCGAATAAAGACAAAGAACAAGCGGGACTGTTATGTACACAAGCAGTGAAAAATAAGATTTGTCACCCGTCTGTATCTCGCTTATTTACCAAAATGTTGACCTCACTCTCACCGCTTGAACTTGTAGAAAATCTCCGCCTGATCTGATGTATCCTGAATTTATACTCAATACTAGAAATAAATAGAAAAAATGAAGAAACAAGCGCAATGCACTATGAAAACACCTCAAAATGTACGCCCCTTTCACCTGTTCTTTAAAATCCGGACATTTCTAAACTGAGTGTGCATCTACACGCACACAATCACAGCGACTACAAACGTGCGGCGGCGGCGGCGGTGACAAAGCAGACAGACCCCCAGACATATTCATCATCACGCCATCCTGACCCTACACCAGTCTGGATGACTCGCCCGGTCCCCGTCGCATTGTGATGATGACAGATAAACATTCTGTCATAGCTTTGTCGTTTGATTTAACCACCAACTGGTTTTGGCAGTTAAATGAACCTCATAAACTCCGGCCTTCAGACATTATTTTCTCAAGCAGTATTTTTGCACAATAGCAAAAGAATGACTTAAAAAGAAGAAAGCACAAACTCTGTATCTATCAAGTATTGATTGATACGCATTATTACCTTAGTGCTTAATAGGTGTCTGCGGGTTCCACACATCATTGTTTTGCCATCACAGGGTCAAGGACAAGCTTTTAAAACAATCACTTTTCCCATTAATGCCTTAAAAACTCCCCCTGTCTCGTCTCATCCCACCCAATGTCACTATCACGTCCTGCAACCCCCCTTTTCTCTTTTACTTCAAGCCTACTGGGAGGTAACATTTTCTAATTTCTGGAACACATTGAAGGGGGATGCAAACAGAAGGTCCACCTTAATCTATCACAGCTCCTCCAAGGGGGCAGGGGTGAACAGTGACAGGCACAAAATCGCAGAGCCGGTGGGGAGGAGGGCAACAGACGCAATTAAGGCTCATGAAATGCAAATGCTTTATGTGAGAGGCTGGGGAGGAGGGCCGGGTCTCTGCTAGTTCTACTGCCATCTGCTTGCCATCACCACCAGCGGAGGAACCTCTGGGTCTCGGTAATTTGTAGCTTTAATAATTTTCTCCCTCAGATGCAGGAAAGAAAAAAAACAGGGAGATGGCGATGAAGGGGCCGAGGACGTGCAGCTGGCTGAGATTAGATTTCGATTAGCTGGTCAGATCACACGGAGATCTGACCTCTTACACTTTAGCGCGGGCATAAACGCACTTGCGTGTTCACACGCGAGCACGCGGCCGCATACACATATTCAGTCCCACTCTCGACTCCACCACTGCACAATACCTCGCCTATAGGCCATCAAAGCTGACCCTGATCCAAGGTGTACTTCTGGCTGAGTGGGTCCATAAATCCCTTAGGGTGTCGGGAGGTTATTTAGGAACATGATCCCCAGCCGCTGAGGGACGAGCCGTAACCCCTCCAAATGCAGATTCGGGCCCCAACTCTCACTGGAGCCCTGGAGGGTCAAAGTGGACACACTGTGTGTGTTGTTTCCCCCCCCCAATGACACAGCCATTCATTTATCATGTGAAAAAAAGAAGGGCCTTACTGAAACAACAGACACAACACTTGCTCATACCCACCATACCAACCCATTCCCAAGGTCAAGACTGCGCCCGTAGTCAGCGGCACACATACATGACCCTTGACCCAGAGGGAGTCCATCATGCTCGGGGGACAAAGTGGAGATTGGCAGCCGATGTAGTCGTGGACTAAGTCAACTTCAGCTCCTGCCATACATCAAAATCACTTCCACCAACATGCACTCGCACTGAGGGCCAAATCATTTTATCGGCAATGAAAAGAGCGGAGAAGATGAAGCGGAGCGCCGGACGAAGCACAATCGAGACGGACGGGAGCTTTTGTGGGAGATTTGGAGAAAGGCAGAGGTGTGGAAGTGTGCCTCTCACTCTCTGAATGTGCTTGAGCGATGACTTAAACACCAGTGAGTGCACCTTTTATAGCTGGGGAGCGTCAGTGAACATATCAGCGCCAACAAAATGGCTCCCTGTCTGCCTCATGAAACCAAAGTTGCACTTGTAACACGGGAGGATTTTATTAAAAGATTATTGTTTTTCAGGCTGAGCCAGCAGGAGATCCGCAGTGTGGATCCACCCAACGCGGATCATATGTGCTGCTGCATAAATGAAAACGCATGATCAAAGTATGCGCGCTGCCATTTTAATGGCACCCGCTCTAAAAAGGGGCGCAATAGGAATCTCTCAGTTCTATTTGGAGCAAATAACACGGATGTGCCATTGTAATTACAGCATTTAATTCTCACGCCATCACACAGAGAACACGGAAATGGTTGCAAAACTGCAAGCTGGAGTGGACGAGAAAGTTTCAGGCCTGGCGTGCAGCAGAGTGAACAAGGCTGCTTTTTAATCTCTGCAGACACACAGAAACACAGATGGCTCTCCTGAGGTCCAGTAAAGCTCCGTACTGGTCGGATGGGCGGCAGTAAAAAGCTCTCTGAATGGTGTCGATGAAGCCTCGTAAATTCCCCCAGGCTATAACAGGACCCCCTATGGGAATGGAGTACACAGCAGCCAAGTTATTTGGAGCTGTGCTGCATCTTAAACGTTGAGAGCCTCATTCATTGGTGGTTATGTAGATACTTCATTTTTTTTACGAGCGAGACACCTCACTCTACGCGCGTAATATGTGCACACGTGCGTGCAGCAGAGATTGAGAGATACGCGTAGTAACATTAGGCAACCGCAACGTTGGACTCGACATCGCAGCAAGTTCTCTGCCCGTCATTGAAAGCAACGGGCTCTAAATCAGCCGGATGGAGCAGAGGAGCAGACAGCTATATGAGCCAGAGATAGAAGTTCTGGGATGACAACGAATTAGAAGATCAAATCCCTCTCAGTGTGCATCTCCTCTGCACGGAGCAGCACAACGCCACGCAGGCCTCCAGCTCTGCAAAGTTCAGCAAAATGCTTGGCGCCTTCAGTGAGCCTGGACACATTACAGATAGTGTTATTTTCAGCTGCCTGTTCGGCACACTCCTATTGAAATTGAATATAATAATCGAAGAGAAAAGGCCTCTAATTAAATGTCCAGAATAACATATTCTGTTTATGATAAATTTGTCTCCGTGCCAAGAACGAGCTCTGCTGCCACTATCTGGACAGTGAGTGTGAGAGCACCGAGTCATTTCTTTCTCCTGCAGTGACTGAACTGCATGAGCAGCCCAAACAAAGCGTGTCCTAGAACTCCTAAAGGACACCCTGAGATGAATACCCAAATGATTTATTTACAGCTCTGAAAGGCGCATATTCAACTCCTAATTATGATATCACTCTCCTTTTGAATAATTGAGCAGAACTAGAAAAAAAAAGGCTCTAAAAAGGAGAAGAAAAAAACTTC